AAGGTTAGCAAGGTCGTGTCTAAAATTCTTCCTAGATCCAACACGGTCTCCAGGAGAATATTATGGAGCTATTAGTGGGCTTTTAGCAATTGGTGGTCCCGATGGTGTCAGAGCTCTCATTCTACCAAACTTGGGCGCATTTGATTATGTGTTGAACAAGTTGAAAACTGACAGGACTGGTGATGATAAGGAGATACAGATGTTAGTCGCGGTAATCATGAAAGCGGTGATGAGCCTCTCTGAAAAAACTGAAACCCTCACGAATGGTACAAACGGTACAAATGGCAATGGAACGAATGGGATGATGGATTTAGATGACGACGAAGGAAAACAGCTTGAAGAGTTTCTAGGACCTACTATCGGGAAAAGGGTACGGAATGCGGGGGATCATAAATTGAACAAGACAATTTTGGAAGCGAGAGAGAAGAATTAAAGATGTTGTAATATATGGAGCTGCATTCCGCGTCATGGGCGTTTAAGGGTATGTCTGGAAGGCATGAACTGGGCTGGGAATCGATATACAAGTGGATACATTCACTTCAATAAGTAGTTTATCATATGAGTTCTTGCATTTGAGAAAAAGGTTGTATTTGAATTGGGAAACAATAAGTTGCGGGGGTTCGAATAGTCTTAACTGCAGTCCAACAATGAAAACAAATTGTTGTGACTAAGTTACAGCCCCCATACCTAAATACATGAATAAAATAACTAAAAATCCTGAAGTTCCAAACCTCTGCGAGCAATAAATCCACCCTCCTCCTCATTGACAAACTCATCTCTACATCTTCGAACTCATTCGCGCATTCTCTTGTTCACTCAAGCTGGAATGGCATATAAAGAGGGAATATAATTATTCGTTTGTAACTTATCAGCCAGTACCAATCTGCTCGAATCACCAACTTGGAAGACGGGGCGGGGAGCAGACGCCCCTCCAATACACGATAGAGAATACCCACCAACTGATGCATCATACGTGCCCAATGTACATTGTATAAGTGGATAACTTGAGGCAGTGCTAAGTGTGTCCATATAAATGTAGGATGCGGCGCCAGAGCCAGCGCCGTCGGTATCGGCGACGCGGGTTTTGTCTGATGAGTAGAGGGATTTACCGTCGAGATAAAATTTGGCTGCGGAGCTTGCGGTGATGGGAGATACTGCTAGGATCTTCCAACCGAGAACGTCTTCGTAAGTTACATATTGGGATTTCTCGGATCCAGAGGCGATAACAAACGATGGGGTAGCACTAGCTGTAGCGGTGGTGATAGATGTGGTGGTGGTTGAAGTGGTTGTCGAGACGTAGTCAGTTACGTAAACGGTAACGGCAATAGTTGGTTTGGTAGCCTGTGCAGAGCATGCTGATGAGATAACAGTGCCAGGGTATTTGGTAAGTCCCACTGGCGTAGCAGCAACTGAGCGCTTTGCTGGAGTGACAGTGCTATTGGCAACCATGGAAGGTATAAGAGGAGTACCGTTCACTAGATGCATTGGGACGTCACTTCTTTTCGGGAGAGGATTATTGGCTACAGTAGTAGTAGTTTGGGAGACCACAGTCGATGTAAATGTCGAAGTCACGGTAGTTGATGCAGTAACGGTATCAGCTGCGAAGCCGAGCAAGGTGCTGCAATAAGGTTGAAGAGATGAGTAGGAGATCTCGACAGATGCTTGAGCAACAGCGCATGTCGTATCTCCAGATGTCAATCCTGGGTTGGTTGCATTGGTGTAGGTATATGAAAGTCCAATGAGATAATGATCAGATCCACGGTATTGTCCAACATTAGTTGCGTAGCTGGAATCCCATGCCTCGGAGTAGATGGCACAATATTGGCCTTGTGTATGAGAAAGATCATTGACATAAAGGAGATAAGTATTGAAGAATTGGCAAGTCTTCACTGGACTTCCATCAGATGGAGGGTGCTCAAGGTTGTATATCGATTGTGCGCTACAGTAAGCGGCACAGAGAGATGCATCGAAGGGACCGGTAGAGAAGATTGTTGACCCCATGTACGTATTGCATCTAATAAATGTTAGCGACAATTGCGAGAATTAAAAAGAGATTATTTTCTTGCTACTAACCCTTGTGAATCATATGGCGCATTAATGGCAGCATTTCCTAGATATTGTGCATTTCCATAACCAGGGATAGGGGCAATGCTGTTATTCGTATATCCATTGGATCCGGCAATCACGACCTGAAAGTTATCTCTGTATTGTCCAGAGTTCAGGGCATTCTCGGTAGAAACTGGGCCACCCCAGAACACACATTTGATCATTGTAACACTTGGAGGATCCTCGCATGATGCTCCAGGTTCGACACTTGGATCACGCTCAAAGTCTACACGCACGTTAGTACGTGACTGCAATTTTTCTTTCGAATAGGGTAGGTAAACCTACAAAGGTTGAAGGCCATACATCCGTTGATAGCGGAACACTTCGATGCACACAGTTCCGAATCATAATTTTCAAGAGTAGTAAAACCCATATATCCATAGGCACTAGGCGACTGTTAGGTTATTTCTCTGGTATTATGAATTCTAATACTTACTTGTTGGATGCCTTAAGGTTCTGAAAAGATTGCGTGTATCCAGCTGGAGTAGAAGCAGCAGAAGCAGCATCAGAGAATCCAGAATTGGCTAAAAAAGCAGATGGAGAATCAGAGGCGTATGCTGGAGCTCCAGTAGCACCGGCTGGCTGAGCTTGACATGCTGTTCTCTTGATCTTGGGGGCATTGGCAGCATCGCTAATTGCTACCGATTGAGATGCAACAGCTTGAGTGGCAGCAACGATAGCGGTCGAAGCATCGTAGGCGATAGATTGAGCAGTTACGCCGACAGGGGGACCAGTAGTGACTGGATCAGGAGCAGCTTCGACCATAGCAAAATCGATGTCTTGGGGGACTGGAGTTGCAAAAGTCATACCCATTAGGGCAGCAACTGTTATCAAGGAAGACCGCATATTGAACAGGAAGAAGATTTGATGGATGATCTAGAGAATGCACACGAAAGTATGGATGATGGGGGAAAATTCGGCTGGGTTGAAGCATCAATATATAATATTTTTCCGCTCGCGGTGGTTGATAGCAATGGGCCATGCGTATCTCGCCAATCTCGGTATTCTCTCACCTTACTGCCGCCTTGGCTCGATGCTATCAACCATTTTCCCCTCAGAACATGTCGATAGTCAGAAATAAACATCAGCAGTACCGTGCGAGTGGACAGAAACCATAGAATGGGCGCCCCGATGGATGTCTCGGAAATTCGATAACTTGAATGTGGAAATGATTGAAGCTCATATCGCAAGCATCCTCCTCCAATTGAAGCTTTTCATCTTCACATTGGCCAGACGTAGTATACCTTATAGGGGATGATTTGACGAGTGGCTTTATTTTAGTTTGCTCTACTACTGCACATGTAGTCCGTTACGCCTCAAGACTTGAAAACCCAATTGCGATCTATGTCTGTCAAGCTAGAACTCAGTGTCTAAACCTGGGAACATACTACAAAGGCTACACTAGCAGCCCGTGGGTTATGATTGAGCGTGCACTGATAAGGCGGATGGATAGGAAATTTTGCAGACAAAAATCTGAGGGAGTGAGGTGAGTGAGATAAAAATACTATCAAGCTACAGCGAAAACAGAAACAAGCGATTCCGCTTCCCAAAAAGGACTGGAACTTTACCGGGAAAGCTGGAGGTAGAATAAAGTCCGTACTATAATGGCGGAGGCATACTCGCACGCTACTAGACCTAATTTCTAGATGCAACTGTCAGTGACAAGAGAGGCATATCGATATCGTGCGTTAGCCGTCAATTTTGACAGACGCAAAGCTTCACATGGCTGGAGCATGGTATTGTGAAGAAATCCTCACTGGAGCAATCGTCAATGCACTTCCTAAACTTGTTAAGGCTATCACGCTTCTTGTCCTCCTATCGAGACTGACTCGACTGGTCAATAATTCAATAGTCATATCCACGATAGGAAATGGGCGTGGAAATGGCTGCGGCTTGCCAAGAGAATAATTGCAACTCGACCACGTGAAGATAAGTGCGCATGGTCCCCTCACTTGTCTATATTTGGCTAGACTTCTTTACCCCTGAGCGTTCCTGGCTAACGATCATAGATAACAGAAGGCTCTCGTTAGTGGTCGACTAGGAGCCATCGCAGAGTAACAGTACAGAGTATGCCTTTAGTAGAGGATTTCTGCAAACGAGCACCTCTCAGATTTCCTCGAGCATTTAATACAATGAAAAGTTAGGGCTGACCAAGCTACACGATGGATTCGTAGGATGTGCTATATAGGCAATAGTATTGTCACGTTTTTCCATGGCAATCGAGAGGATCACCAACTCTTAGAATGCGGGGAATAGACATCTCGATAATCTGTGATATCACACTGAGTTTCTACAAATTATCTTAGAGACCTCTGTCCTCCCGGACAATTACCTCTCTCACAAATTTCAAGACTATGAAAGCACCGATTCGATACCCCACAACAGAATGAGTACCACTACCTGTCGAATAGATCTATAAAAATACAACGATCCAATTGATCAATATAAGCGAGTGAGGTTATGCTCTCCACCTCCCTCATTCTAGGCAACATCCGTAAAGCAGCGCCAAAGTAAGCCTGACGCCTCAAGCATCCAAACACCACATCATCAATAACCAATTCAATCCATCCATCCAAGCCCAACATCCTAACAAATACCAAAATCACAATGCCTCTCTGTTCCCATTGCAACGCAATCGATCTCACAGACTCGCATGCCGATATCCTACTCGGTTCATATGATTCCCTGCTTGAAAAAAGTCAACAGATAATTGATCCTCCTGCGACTACTTCTTCGAGTCATTGTGAAGGATGTCTCTATTTCATAACTATTCTTCATCATTCATCTCGCTACGCGGATTCGCGAGAAGGATTAAAGAATAAAATGATTTTTCTGTACATGCATTGTTTGAATGTGAGGGATGTGGAGAGGCAGGATCAGAAGAGGTGGGGGAGATGGATATGCGGTTTGATGTTTGTGCGGGAGAGGATTATGAGGGAAGGTTGGGGGAAGGACGGTTTGGTAATGAGGAGGAGAAGAAGTTACCTGTTGATCGGGTAAAGAATGTTCCGATTTGTCTGGATGGTAAAAATGGGCTTGAAGGGGTTAAGAAGTGGATGATAGATTGTGGGATGGATCATGAGATTTGTCGGGCTGTACAGCGGGTTAAAAGTTTACCGAAGAGACTCATCCGGATATCGATTGATGTTGAAGTAGCTCCGATTCTTATTGAGACGTCCGGGTTAGCATCTATAGATTATCTCGCATTGAGCGCTCGTTCCTTTGTGGGGACGCCAAACATCGGGGAGAGTCCCACACGGGAAAATTTCTCCATCTTAGAAACAACAGGAAAGTCTCTAGATACAAGTTCGCTTCCTAAAGCCTTGACAGATGCATTCGTTATTACCCGACGCCTAGGTTATGAGTACATCTACATCGCCGCTCTCTGTCACGTGTCAGACGATCCACTTGATCTTATAGCAATCTTCGCCCAAGCAACTCTCCTTCTTTCCGCCGATAACGTAAGCTCTCCCACAGAAGGATTAATCCAAGATCGAGCAATTTTCAATTCTCCTCCCCTCGGTATCAACAAAGACCGCTATCTGCGTTTGAGCTGTCTCCGCAACCACGCAGATCTCGATTCCTCTCCTCTCTCGACATCAGGCTGGGCATTTATTGAACGAATCCTCGCACCTCGAATTTTGCATTTCACGAAACGTCAGTTGATCTGGGAGTGTGCTTCCGGATGGAAATTTGAAGCGTCGAATGTGGAAGATAAGCAATATGGAAGTGGGATGATCAGAGGAACGTATCAGAAAAACCTCACGCAACCTTACATCAAGGAATATCTTTCTCGCGAAACTAGAAAAACCTCAGAATCCAGTACACAAGAAAACAACAATACTCAGATTTCAAATCTACGCGAATATGCACAGAGATTAGAAGTCTGGTATCAAATCATCGATACCATCTCCACCACCACCTTTCCCTCTCAACTCGATAAATCCAAAGCCCTCTCGCTCCTCACAAAAATCATCGATAACAACACATTCGGCACAAACCTCTCTGGGATCTTCACCCAAAACATCGCATACGGTCTTGCGTGGGGTCGTGTAAATACACTTCTCACCCCAAATCCCGACGCCCAAGCCCCAAGCTGGAGTTGGGGGAGTGTACATGGACCGATTTCCCACATGTATAACAGCTATCCCCCTTCCATCTTACACATGCGCTCTGCCCATCCATCATGGACAGATAAACATACACCCGAGCTTCTTTCACACACGGCATCTCCCCTCCCAGTCCCAACCTCCAATTCCCTCCCCAATAATCCGGTCCTCGGCCTCGAACTCAAAGCTTCCCTCACACGCATACTCCACCTGTGCGAACATTTCCAATCCGAATTCCCAAAATACACAGTCAATCTAGTGCTTGACCAATCCCCCATCTTCGATTGCAAATGTTGTGGGCCCAGAAGTGACGCCGTGCAAGAAACCGGAATCCAAGAATTTGAAAAGCGGAAGGATCATTACTTCGCCATGTACGTATCGGGAGATCTGGATGTTGAAGCGGGAGATGGAGATCCGTGGAAAGTGAGTCGGTGCGCGGATATGTTGGTTTTGAGGATGGTGGATGGGAGGGAGGAGATGGGGGGTTGTGAGGATGAGGGGGAGGGTGTGGCTGGACAAGGAAAAACGATTAGTGGGGATGGGGGAATGGCAGTGTATGAGAGAGTGGGACTCTTGAGATTGAGTTTCACGAGTTATGAGAAGAATTCTGTGGATGAAGGATCTATACAGGAGAAATTTGATGGGGTGGGATGGGATAGGAAAACTATCAGGTTGGTTTGAGAGATGTTAGAATATATTGGTATGCAAGAGCGAATAATGCGATGCGTGTCACTTCGATTTAATCTTCAACCTCTTCCCATCCCGACCAAAAGATTCGCACATCAACTAAATCCCCCCCTTTACATAATAATCCACCGGGTACCCCAACCAATCACACTGTTCCAAATCCGCAAACTCCTCCACCTTCCCCGGCCAATCAATCACCATCATACTCCCCTTCTCCCCACCCACACCCACCTCCTTCCACTTCCCCACCTCCTTAATCCCCTTCTGCACCGTCGCATAACCTCTACTCTTCAAGAACCCGTCATCAGTATTCGGATTCCCGGTCCTGACAAACGCCCCAAAATAACTCACGCTCAACTGCACACTCCACCAATCCTCCTGATCTCGAAACTCCAACCCCGTATTAAACGCTCCAAACACCCACGGCATATCCGCGCTATGAAATCTAAAATACGGCAAATTGGGATTCCCATTCGGATACCCCGGTGAAGACGGCGGTCCCCCCAGTCCATTCGGATCCCAGCCCGCGATCGTGCGTCCCATCTCGAAAAAGTAACTCGATTTGAAAATGCCGTTTTGCGATGCTGCATACACGGTCGCTTGGTCCACACAGCGGAAATCTTTATCTGTTGCTACGCGCTGCGACACGTTGAAGGCGTCCAGCGTGAGGTTTCCCGTGTCGTAGAAGGGGAAGAAACCGCTGTCGATGATGGATTGAGCGGCAGATGTGGATATACCGAGAGATACCGCGATGCCGGAGACTTCGGATGTGACGGGGGTGGAGGGGTAGCTGGTACCGATGGATGCGCCATCATTGGCAGTGATGCCGAAGATGACGTCGACGTGAGCGGTGCTTCCGTTGTGATTCACAAGGTCGAGTTCAGCTGTGTTGACATAGTGACCATCCTGGACAACATATCGCGCCTCGGAGCCGACCGCAATCAAATCTAGAACGGGAACATTTTTCAGACACGCAATTTGGGCAGATAGATTGGACTGGTTGCATCCCGCTGCTAGGAAAATGTTTTGGCCGGCGAGAGCATAGGATTCGGGGATGGTGAGATATGAGGAGTAGGTAGTTGCATAGTCACCGGTAAGGCCAAGCCCGACGCCACCACCAAGATTGGACATGGCTACTGCTCCTTGGAATTTCCCGATTGCAGATGGTGAGCCTAGAAGTGTGCGGACAGATCCTGCACCAGCGGAATCTCCTATGATCGTGATTCTTTTTGGGTCCCCTCCAAACGCAGCAATGTTTTTCACTGTCCACTGGTATCATATTAGCCTCATAAATGATGTGTAGAGATTAGATGTGCTACTTTACCTCTAGAGCATTGATTTGATCTGCAATCCCATAGTTCCCCGTGATGTTAGTCCCAGGAATCGCCAGGAACCCCAGAACAGAAAGTCTATAATTAACACTCACAACAACAATGTCCTCTCTACTCGCCAAATCCCCCCCATCACTCAACTGATCAGCGCCACTCCCCCCCACAAACCCACCACCATGGATCCAAAACATAACTGGTCTCAAATCCTTCGTCGATTTCACCTTGGGAATATACGGAGTTTGTATATTGAGAAACAAGCAATCCTCGCTCCCACCCGAAGATTGTGGACACTGTGCGCCATACGCAGTTGCTTGAATCGTTTTCCCGGTCGGCGAGTACGGCGTAGAATAAACGAATCGCGCAGCCGGATTCGCATACGGAATCCCGAGAAAGCGGAAAGATTTCTGGTTGCGGTATCCAATATATGTATTCCCGCCCGCGGCAAGAGAGACCTCATTGGCGTTTGTAGCAACCGCGATTCCGGGTTGACTTTCTTCGCTAGACTGTGTACAAAGAACCGGTAACTTTGCATTACCAGACGTAGATTTCGGGAAGCTCAATCCGTGAGCTGCGTCGTAGGAAATAACTCCATCGTTGATTATATATAGCTGAGAAGACGACGACCGACCACGATATGCTTGGTATGAAAGCGGGAGGAGAAAATCAGATGTGTGGCTTTTGATAGTGCTACTGCTGAGGAGCGTTTCATTCAACGCCTTGCATGCTGCGGGTGCATCTTTAGGGGAGTGAGGATCTAGAAGAATGAACCCCACGTGATTCACATCATCGGAAGCATTAAGATTATTCTGATACAAAAGCGACAACGAGGTATCCGAATTCGAAAGTGCCGAGACGAAAGAGAATATCACAGAGACGAAGAGAGAAAGATGCTGAAGACGTGAAAACACGAACATCGTGAGAAGAGTTGACCAACTCAACCCACGGGATACCATCGCATCTTGTACCTCCCAAATTGCCTCTCCACAAACTTAGCTTCATCTATTGTATTTAGCCAAGATCCTCCGTCAAAGAATTTCAAATGTCGCAACCCAGTCTACCCGGCTCATTCTTCCCGGGAATATCATGGAATATAATCCGCGCCTCCACTCGGAGTCTTCTCACAACAAGGTTAAACTGGAGATATACTTTATCCGGTCGTGCCGGTGTGCCAAAGATCAACCATTTGCGCGGGGTAACACGATGAATTTTATCCAATTCCATTTCCCCGCAATTTAATATTCAACCGGTGAAAACTGGTTGACGGCTTTTTGAATCGGCGGTTCCGCAAGGAATCTCTAATATGGGGATAAATCTCCAAGTTTTTACACCGCTTGAAATATCAATATATTAAAGTTATAAAGTCTGCCGCCGCAGCAGTAGCCTTCGGAGAGAGGGGGAAACAACAATTTTCGTTTGGTTGATATATACCAACTTTGAAATCCTGCTCACTTACCTTTGTGCATTGTATTTATCTTGTTCTTGTTACATGGTCACAATGTTAAGTAAAGCTAGGAGATGAAGTCGATGCTTACTAATCAAACCTGTGGTGAAATGTTAGACTGTAATGTGGTCATGGCATGGAGTAGTATTTCGAGACCCAAACCAGTTTACAAAGGAGTGCCTCATTCATACTTCAACCCCCCCCCCCCAATTCATTACACCAAGCAGACATTGAACGGCTCACATTAGGTAGGAAATTTAAATCCAGAGATTCATCTCATGCAGTGGTATTTTTAAGTCTAAATACATCATCTCACCCCAATTCTCCCTCCTACCGCTCCTCCTCCACCATCTTTTTGGTATCGCCAATATCGTATGGAACTTTGCATGCAAATGGTATCTCAACTTCACTTTCTCTATCTATGTCAAAAAATCGCCAAAAAATGTCAACAGTCGCAAGGACATATCATGATATCAGTAAGGCCTGCCTCCCCGCTACAATGTCCATGTCCCCGAACCCTTTTCCCTCACAGTCTATCAATCCGTCGTGAAAAAAGCAAAAATTGCTGCGTCAAGAAAAGAATGCAACAACGCAATAAAAACACAAAATCAAATCAAAAACAGCGTATACATCTAGGCGAAGTGTCCTCTCTTCTTTGCCTTTTGATGCTCGTGCAAATGTCTTCTTCTGGCAACGCCACTTGCAGTTGCAGTTGTGGTTGCAGTTGTAGTTGCAGTCGCGGTAACAGTAATAGTAACATCTTCTTGGACCCAGACTACTTCATCAACTTCGACTTTTTCGTTGAGTGGGGAGATCGCGGTGGTCGTTGAGTAAGAGGTCGAATAGAAAGATGCCGATGAGGTAGTAAGAAGAGTAGTTGCTGAGCTTGAAACTGATGCGATTGCGTCTGTGGCGGCAGTAGATGAGCTAGAGTCTGTATATGAAACTCCGGATTCGACGGCGGCGAAAACACCACCTGGTGCGTAGGTTTGTCCGAGAGAAGCGACTGTAAAACCGGAGGGTCAATAATTGCCTAACAGAGAAGAGTTTTGAAGAACAGGAAGTTGAAATTAGATTAGGAAATAGGAAATAGAACAGATGCACAAAAACAATTAGGTGAGTGTTGACATCGAAAAACAAGATTAGGCATGATAGTTGTAATGATAATCATAAACAGTGAGATTAGTAGGCTTACCAATGGTTGATCCGGCCGAGTGGGAAAGAGTTGGGACGATGGCTGATGAGCTAGTTGTGGTAGTCGCGCTTGATCCTTTGGCAGTTGAAGTTCCATATGCTGCTGATGATGTTTTAGCGGTAGTGGCTGCACCAGTCATAGCAGTAGCTGGAGCAGGTCCCGATTGAACAGCGCAGTTTCCGGGAAGTGTCGCCATAGGTCCAACAACATCTTCATTCTCCAAGGCCGATGGAAGTGTAAGGTTGCAAGACCCATAAACACTTACATCTTGGATATCAAAAAGTGGACAATCTTCAATTTCCCCGGAAGCGTTAGTGCAGGTGTCAACAGCTTCTTGCAAAAATTCTTCATCCCAGCCCATGATGAAGTCGCCGTGATACCCGTAACCAGTTGGGTCACCGTTAGAAATCACGAACTCTCCATCAATACCGTTGAAGGCATAGGTATCCCAGATAGTTTCATAGAAGAGCGAGACGAGACGAGTATCGAATCCCGCTGGGCAAGTACCAGTCATGACTTGATCAGGGTACGCCATGTGGGATTTTCCATCTGGTGCAGTTACTCCTGCGGTCTCATTCCAGCATGATGGGAACATGAGTTCCATTCGGACACCACTGACGCAGTTTTCATCAAGATAAGCCTTATCTGGCATGAAATGACGGTAAAGGGATCCTTCGGGCTGGTTTTTTGGATAATTCAAACAGTTGAAGCCAAGAGCAGCTTGTCGAAGGAAATCTTGGGTGTCATATGGAGACGTGCTCGCCCAGGATGATTTGTCAACGTCAGGAACAGCATAATCGGAGAAGTTACGGAGATCAGTATTTCCTGCAATCATAGCAAAGTCTCTGGGGAAGGCAGTTACATTATCTCCATAAAGAAGGTAATACCTGATGTAAAACATTAGCCACATCACTTCCGGTCAGTTTCCAAGAAGCAAATAATGAAAGATCCGACTTACGCAAGCATACCCCCCACTTGTTCAACTAATTGGTACTGCCCAGTAGCATCATCACGGAAGTAGAGTGAGGGAGTCCAGTATACAGATTTATCTTGAGAAACTTCACATGAAGTACAGTTTCCGGCCATTAAATCATCGTAGCCTGAAGACTCTCCAAATCCTATTCGCCATATCAAATCAGTATTCCCGTTTCCAGAGAGATCATTGCCAACATACCGCTAGATCCATGAATAGCATGTGCGTGTGGAGAGACAGTGCCAGGATTGACTAATGGATCAATTCTTGCCAGTCCACTTCGAGCTCTACATGGCATACGCCAGAAAGCATCAGCACTGCTAGCCAGCCCTGCCAAGATGGCTGCCTTTTCGACGAAAGAGTGTCCGCGCATTTTGAATATATGTATCCAAAGATCGATATCGAATTTAGTTTAGTTTATTTTGTTTCAGTGACGTTATGTAAATGATTACTTCTTGCAAGCAATGAAGAACCACCAAAGAATGTGCAGAACGAAAGATTTAAAGATCAAAAACGTTCTTGGGAAGTGGTTGAGTATTTGGTTGTAGTTGTTGTTTGTTATCCTAGTCGAAGGATTGGGTGGTATTGTTGATATTCCGGTCGGAAATTGGCGCAGCGACACGAGGATTCCTTAAATCGCACCGTTCGATTGTAGATGATTCACTTTAAATCACAACAATAAGTTTCCTCTCCAATGAAGATTGATTCAATAAATCCAACGAATATCTTTTCTGTTCCCCTAGGATGCAGGGTTGGTGATTCCGTGTAGTTTGCGAACTGGAGTCGTTGATGAATAAGCTCGAATTCGAAATTCTTTCGTCCAACCTCACGACGAACAAACAATTTTCTGACGGCGCAGAATCGTACAGGTATGCGTAAAGAGATGTCGAAGCGCGATGCGATATGATGAAAGTCCCAAACGATGGTCCAAAATGCGACAGGGTTTAACAGCAAAGAATGATATTGTATGCACACAAAGCTTCTCTGGACGTGTACCTTGCCACGAAAGAGAGACGATAAACTGAAAGGTTAAGGAGCGTGAAGGATGTTTCTTGAAAAGAAAGAATGTAATTGTCGATACAGACGACAGTGAGCTTTCAACGGTGGAGAAAGAGGCAAGAAACAAAAAGTGGAAGGCGATGGAAAAAACGTGGAGGAGGAGGGATATAATAAAAAGGAAAGAAAGGGTAGGGACGAAGGGGTGGGTGGAAATGGACTAGGCCGGTTGGAGTCCTCTGGTAGAGGAAGAAGAGTGGAAGGATTCATTACCCAAGTCTCAAGTCTCAAGGCGACCCATACCACGAGATTTCACGAGCGTACGAAAATCCCCACTCACGATGCCAAGGATAGAGTGGACAAGATTGGCCAAAGAGGGGAGAGTGAGTGAGGGATTTGGAAGGCTGGAGAGGAAGGGGAAAGGAAATAGCCAGGACGAGGATACTTGGTCCCGAGCAAATGAAGACAGCGTAATTGAACGAACAAATGAAATGATTCACGAATTGAGTAATGAGGAATGAGTAATGGCCAATTGATGAGCATAGGATGAACAGATCAAAAGTCCCAAAACGGCGAAACTCTTCAAATTACAAAGGAGGTACCTGGTAGTGCTTTACTAACATGCACAGATGGATCCGGCACTTTTGGGTACAGGACCATTATACATCTGCACTACGAGACTACTTTTATTTTAAACCATGTGAATGAGTAAGAATCGATGGAAAAGTAAGATCTTGCAAATTACGTGTGCATCCTGTCCTTTCCTCTATTCCTTTTCGATCCTCAGATTTGGTGTGGAGGAATGGGATCATTGGTTATGCGCAGAAGTTATGCGTCGATGGTGTGTTGCAGCAGATGGAAACGATGGAAAGAAAGTATGGGTAGCAGCTGCATATTCTCGGGGATTTTCACAAACTAACAAACGCCCAATGGTATAGGATAGATGGATAGATAGATAGATAGATGTATGTGATAGGATACCATTTTATCAATCCGTATGTATCCATCCCTTGGGGACTGATCATTCACACCCGACCCCTCCCTCCAAAAGTTCAATTTCGGGCGGGTGAACGTTGGACTGATCTTTGTTTCTTTTCTCTTCCCTTCTTCCCATCTTTCCTTTCCTTTCCCTTCCCTTTTCCTTCCCCTTCCCTTTCCTCTCATCCTTGGCAAGCAAACGCAATCCCAAGTGTAAAATGTAATTGGATGGTAGGAGATGGGAATGGACGGACACGATTCAATTGGATCGCATGGACCGATTGGCACAGAATGAATTAGTTTGGACCCCTTGGTTTCTCTTAGTTCATCCTTAGTGTGAGACAATCGGCTAAGGATGATGGATGATTTTCAGGGGGAAAACGCCTCGCACTGCATAAACCGCTTGGGCGTGGGTGTCCTGATATTAATTTGGATCTCCATCCGTGAAATTGTATGGAGATGTTATCGTATTTTCATATCGAGCGAAATGCCTTCTCCATTTTATCTCGTCCGATGACGATACCGAGACGTGGTGTATGTTTATACGAGACAAATTTGGTAGGATGAGATGTATGCCTGTTGGTGACTCTTCCTGAGGAACCTGTGTCGGGTTGCCATTAGGTGAGTAGGTAGATTCACGATACTCACAAACGGTTGCATTCTATCGATAAGAACCATCTATTGTGGTGGCGTAAATTCTATCCTTATAAGTTATCATCCTTCCTCCCGTAATTCAACATGAAACGATCCTCAAGACCAATCAGCTCCCAAAGCAAGCCAGATCATCCCGTCGTTATTCGCACAGACTGCACTTCTTCAGGATTAGTGTGAAAGGAGTACCGACATGGTATCTTTGAAAGATGATCTCTTTTTTATTACCCATTTAATATCTTTCACCTAGGCACAATATGAACATTTTATCTATACACTTTCATTTTGAGTCTTGGAATTACGAAATCCACAGGCGCAGCAACGAATCCAAAATTTCCACTTCCTTGGCAACCAAACAATCTTCAGCCTCTTCAGCCTCTTCCGCAAATTCTCCATTCCAATCTCTACCTTTCTTTTCGCTGGCAGTCATGAATCGACATGCCGTGTTTCCGCCGTCCTTTCCTTTTCTTTCTCCGTTTGCTTTGCTTTGCGGCACTGCATCGGGCCCACACCGGCGCTTGCACACTTGCAAACCCCTTTTTCTCGACACATTTGACGTACCTACCTGTCTACCCACGGAGTACCCCCAATGACAATACGATAACATGATTTGCCCACAGCAAGCGCGAGCACAAGACCACCCAAAAAAATCAGATGACGAGAAATACCTTCCCAGGAAGAATAAGAAGAAGATAAGTGAGTGGTAAGAAACCACACCTCAATCAAGGCTTTCGTTTGATATCCCCCAAATCCAAAACTTCTTGCCCTCCCGTCCGTTCATCTGAAATCTCATCCGACCAAGTGACCTCAAAAGTCACAGAAAGTCCAAGTCACAAAGTCAAAGTCACAATAGAAGCCAAGACTCTCAGCTCAAACAACGACGGTATGATGTGTTGATAGATAATCTTTCCCCGGACCGCCATGCTATACCATGTCATTGATATAGTCTCTGTCAATTTATCTGTCCATAGAGTACCTAATGATAATAAGAAGTACTACTATCTACTTTATTCATCTCTCACTCCTCACTCCTCACGCACCACCTACCTTCAACGCATACCTTCAACGCATACCTAGTCATTCCACAGAACACATCAGTCATCAAACAATCATGATATTGAGAAGAAACACAATTTTAATCGGGAAAATGAATTCATTATCTAACACTTTCCACACTCCCAAGACACACACACACACGCACTCCTCAAAACCTTCACATGTCAAGATGGACGATATCCCTGAACAGGAATAGGGAGAAAGTAAAAAATAGTACTGGAAATTACTCTGTCATTACCTAAACCCCCCTAAACCCTACCACCAAGAATCCACCATCAAATCCCTCAACCCATGATGACCGAAATTGCCAAGCCTTTATATGCACGAAATCCGTCCACGACAGAGACCAAAAGACCAGGGTACACACCTATTTGGAGATTCAGAGATTCAAAGGAAATGAACAGATAATTCAATCGCTCTCCGTTTTACGTCTTAAGCTTTTGACTCCCGTGTTCATCGTCATTTTAAATTGTTTGTAACCCGTGAAACAATCACTTCAACTTAAGCAGTCACTTCAAACCAGTCTATGTTTGCACGCTTCACGTTAGGCCGTGTAGGATAGAGGGTGCATCATCACATGCATCATATGCATCATATGCAATTCATACGTGTTGGAGGGGCACGATAATGCAGCCATTAGGTAGGTAAGAAGAGGGGAGATTTATGCTAGGTCGGCGTCCCATCGGTCCATGTTGGTGGATGGTAAACGATTCCTTCATGGTCAACTATTCTGGGCCGACCCCAGATTACTACACGCGACTAATAACAATCGTCCCCAGCCCTTTGTTGGCTTCACGTCAGAGACCACTGGGCAAAGCAATCGCGACGTTGGTGACCATTCCTTCAGATCTATTAGGAGACGGACAGGCCAAGGAGGGGGCGAAGCATAGTAATGACTATATTGATTACATCGAAATTAGTAAACCTTGGGATTCGTGCCTTCTCTAAAAGTTTTCCTCTTGTCATTCAATGGAGGAAATTGCTTGTGAATTTGTGTCAATCTGTTTTTCTATATTTAACATGTTAGCTAGGTGCAATTTGGCGGCGGGCACTGAGAATACTCACTTTATTGGACATGTCCCGTTTCCTCCACGCAAGTTGTTTTCTTGACGTGCTTATGAAGCACCGTCGTTTTCTTCATTTATGTTCCCTCGACTAGATTAGGCTAAACATATTAAGTAAGGAGATCCGCAACATTCATTGGCATCTCATCGATTTGAGTAGAGTAGTACACTGTTTCAAACATATTAGCACTGCGCGGCAGGATTCAAGGAGGGGAAATACTTACACTCAATATCTCTCAAAATCCTAACATCTTCACTGGTCACGAAATTGATCGCAACACCCTTTCTTCCGAATCTACCACTTCGACCAATGCGATGAATATAGTTCTCACGGTTAACTGGTAAGTCATAATTGATGACCAATGAAACTTGTTGAACATCAATTCCACGAGCCCAAACATCTGTAGAGATCAACACTCTAGAATTTCCTTGGCGAAAATCTTGCATAATGCTATCTCTTTCCTTCTGAGGCATCTCTCCGTGCATAGAGGATACGGTAAAGTTGGCCTCGCGCATCTTATCGGTCAACCAATCAACCTTTCTTCTGGTGTTGCAAAAGATAACGGCTTGGGTAATAGTGAGGGTATCGTATAGATCGCAAAGTGTATCGAATTTCCAGTCTTCTTTCTCCACAGCAATAAAGTATTGTTTCAAACCTTCCAAAGTCAACTCATCACGCTTGACAAGAATACGAACAGGGTCGGTCATAAATTTCGTAGTCATGTCGAGAACATCGTATGGGAGGGTAGCGGAAACGACAACGACTTGTGTCGCTGGTGGAAGGTAACGGTAGACATCGTAAATCTGCTCTCTGAATCCACGGTTCAACAACTCATCGGCTTCATCAAGAACCAACATCTTGATATGACGAGTGCGAAGATTGCGTCGACGAATCATATCAGCAACACGACCTGGTGTTCCAGAAACAATATGTTGTCCATAATCTAGCTTGCGAATATCCTCTCCAACGTTGGTACCTCCAATACAAGCATGACATTGTACATTCATGTAGTCTCCCAAAGCCATAACAACAGATTGAATTTGAGTCGCAAGTTCTCGAGTAGGTGATAGAACCAAGGCTTGAGTTTCGCGGACAGCGGTATCGATGACTTGAAGCATACTGATAGAGAAGGTTGCAGTTTTACCAGTACCAGATTGGGCTTGAGCAATAGTATCGCGGCCTTTGCAAATTTGAACAATCGCACGGGATTGAACGGCTGAAGGAGATTCGTAACCATATGCGTAGATACCACGGAGTAAATTTTCTATATAATTGTAAGCCTGGTGACCATATCCATATACATATAATATAAACTTACCCTTCAGATGCATGTCCTGGAAAGTTGGCGCGACGGTCACATCTGCAGAAGTCGTAAACTCCATGCGATCGTCCATCTTTCTATCAATTCCTTCAGCCATGATTGCGTTTTAGTTTTATCTTTTCGTATTGAGATGGAGGTCGATGGTTAAAATCCCAAAGTTATCTCTTTAGAAAGTCATCGAGGTTTCTCCGCCTCCATAAGATGCGACAAAGCTCTGAAATTTTAGCGTCAAAAATTAAAGTTAGCGGCCCTATGTGGGTTCACGCGAAATGATTGGTTGGCGCAAAAAGTTCAAGAGCCTGAACTAGAATCATCAAAAACAACCTGTACATCTATCCATCGTGTTGTTGATTTTCCTCTATTAATCTTATTAATCTTCCACGGCAGGAACAAACCCACCATTAAAATCGGTTTGATACAAATCCTTCGAAATGATATTAGAAGAGCAAAGATTCCTCCATGAGGATCTTGAAAGGCTTGAACAAGGTATCGCTGATAGAGTAGCTGAAGATCCAAAACAGGTAAGAATTGAAGCCATTTGCCTTTCATCAGTCAAACATTCTAACCTATTATCAAGGTTCGAGAACGATTGAATCGAGATCATCAAGTCGGGCACTTCCTGGATCGAATTCAAGACCAGTCCAAACGTTTACTGGACATATACAAAGATGTAGATGGCGTACGAAGTAAAGAAATTCAATCCATATCGACGGGCGAACCATTGGAAGAGTTTTACAAGCAGCTTGGAGAAATCAAGAGTTTCCATCAAAGATACCCGAATGAACCTGTTGAGAACCTCGAAAAGGCTTACAAGAAGAAAGCCCCCATGGAAGGGGAGACTGCTACATCAGAAATCGATAACATGTTCACTGGAGAGGAAGCATTTGGACGATTCCTAGATCTCACTACCATTCACGAATTATTCTTAAATCTGCCCAATATTAAACGTCTTTCCTATTTACAATATCTGGACAATTTCGATTCGTTCGCGCCTCCAACATGTCCCGTGAAACGTCCAGATAAGATGACCGATCAATACTTCGCATACGTTGGGGAACTAGCAAACTATTTGGAAAACTTCATGCGCCGAACAAGGCCGTTGGAGAATTTGGATAAATTGTTTGCGAGCGTTGAGGAAGATTTCGAAAAGGAATGGAAAGATAATAAAGTTCCCGGATGGACACTTGAGATTACAGCACCCGTGAATGGATCAAGTGCATCTGGAATATGGTGCGCAGACTGCGAGAAGGAGTTTAAGAATGAAAACGTATATAAGGGCCATTTGCCAGGGAAGAAGCACGTTCGAGCCGCAGAGGCGCGAGCAGCGCGAATGGCCGAAACAGGAGAGGACAGCAATGGTGCCATACAACCAACATCATCCACAGCTCGCCTGAAGGAACGTGCAATAGCGGAGCGTGAATACAGAGTAACGCGTCTCGCTGCTGCTATGACACAGGAAAGAAGTGACACTCGAGTCAATGTCGAACGAAAGCAAGGTATGACCGAACGTGAACGACAAATGGAGCTTGATGCGTTATTTGCCGAGTCATCATCTGCAACACCTCGAGATGGAGACTCGGACAGCGAGTCAGACAGTGATGACAAGGTCTACAACCCATTGAAGCTGCCATTGGCCTGGGATGGTAAACCTATTCCTTTCTGGCTTTACAAACTCCATGGACTCGGTGTTGAGTTCAAGTGTGAGATTTGTGGTAATTATGTTTACATGGGAAGAAGAGCTTTTGATAAGCATTTCAATGAGGCTCGTCATATTTATGGTTTGAAGTGCTTGGGCATTACGAATACCACATTATTCCGCGAGATCACGGGTATTGAGGACGCGTTGAAACTGTGGGATAAATTGCAAAGGGAAAAGAAGAAGGGCAAGACTGAAGAAACTGGTGTTGTTCAAATGGAGGATGCAGAGGGAAACGTTATGCCCGAGAAGGTTTACTACGATCTACAAAAGCAAGGCTTGCTATAGGCAAATGGATTAATGGCGTCAGTTAGGGGTGTATAATAAGAATGTATGTATCATCATACCCATTACAAAGAAGATTACGAGATATTTCACTTCATAATGGATAACGTTGTTTGTTCCAGTTATTACATCGTCCTCGGCGTAAAAAAAACTTGCTCTTTCTAATTCGCAGTGCGAGTAAATAGCTCTTACCGGTATAGGAGATATATCGACAATGGGTAATTTAGTATTAGTGATGCTATCAAGTACTAGCACCATTGAGTTAGCACTAGTATTACAGTCTGAATTGCCAAGCCCTCTAGACTTGCACATATTTTGTATAAATCATAAAGAGCAAAGCACGACATCAACTTGTACATCGACTTAATTTGTATTTTGCATAGCTTCTCCCCGTCACCCTAAAATTCCACCAAGTTTTAATATTCCTCGCAAATTTTCATTCCCAGTTCGACCCTCAACAAGTTTCGAATCTATAGCGTGCTCTGCGAGCTCTGGTGGATACTAATATCCTTCCGCTTGGCTAGGGATCTCATCCGTATACCTAGTTCTTACTTTAATGAAGCAAAAGCTGGCAATGTCATTTTTGATACCTAAAGGCGATCACAAAGTAGCTCTTGCTCCTCGTATGCAATGTATCGGTGAAAGCATGCTGGTGTATTCATGATCACGTTTAAAGGATATGGATCTTATTTTTGACGTGCGTTCAAAATGCCTCAAGATTTGAAGTGAAGAGATTTTGAAGGGCATATTGAACAGAGAGTTGTCTATACAATAATGTACGCAGAATTTGGGTATGATTGTAAAATGAGGCAAACAAACTGTTTTATACTCTCATTGATTGTCGTATGTTAGACCATTTCTCTGGATGCACTGGTGTGCTTACCGTTGGCATTTATCTTTAACACTTACAAGCGCAGATGAATGATTTACAGCGAAACTTATCTCTTGTGCAATTAACATAGCTCCATATGGAGGAGCTCCTGCTATCATCTGCTACATAAAAAATGGGCTATAAGAGGGACATTCGAAAGTTGCATTTTATCAAATTCGTAACCCATATGCGCAAATTTAATGCATTTAAGTACGTTTATCAAAACTTCATTTCAATATTCGTTAAGTCACTTCTTTCGCATTCTATTTAAGATACTAATATGTCTCAGGCTGATATGTTTTAGTTTTGCTATTCTGATTCAACCTCAACATCATCGCTCAATAGTTGCATTTTCGACAATCGCAATCTTCATCTTAGATCCAACGCAAGCTTCAAGTCAACCCCATCATATTACCGAATGAATAAACAACGCTCCCATAAATGATAAACTCCCATTAGTAACTGCCCGAAAAGCAATTCCTCTCAAAATCGTGTTTCTCATGAGGCCCTTCCCATCGTCAGCATTCTTCCCGAGCCATTTTCCTCGGCACATTGTCCACAGCCACATCCAGCATCGTTGAACCACTTCATCAGTTTAATACGAGCAATGATTCTTTTATGACTCATGGCACCATCTTCTGATTGTCCAATAGCTAATTTGGGCTGTTGCTCAATCTCCTTGGGGCTGTAGCCGCCCATAGGATCACCCACATAGCTGATCGTCAATTCCTCGCCTGCCTTGATATCTCTATTGGCCCTGCAACTCACACTACTACTTCCAGGTTTGAGCACCTCCTGGTTTGGTCCGTCTCCAGCTAGGAGTGCCGATATGTCTTGAGCTCCGTTTAAACATGTACCGTTCCACATCACGTTATATCTGCAACTATGGTTGAAGAACGAATAGCTAGGACTGATTACGATCAAGTGCGCCATTGTAGGTCCCGATTTGGGCGTGCGAATGGAACAGAATGATTCGTCCAATTGAAGACCAGGAATATCAATTGCGCTATTATTAGCGTTGTTCAACATGCGCCAGTATATTGACTGGATCAGCTCCGGAGTCCAGCTATTTGCCAGAAACTTGGTTTTACCTTCGTGTATCTTCTTGACTGGAGAAAAAATATCAATGCCGAGATCACGTAGAATGCGGGTAGGTGCGACTATGTTCTCCTGGTAAGACCAAGTTTGTCCATGAATAGCTTGTTCGTCATCACGGGCGTAATTAGCTGTCAACCTCGCCAGCAGCGGATGTTGCAAAGGGTTCTTCTGAGAGGTCGACTCTTTTGACCAGCCAGGTGTGCTTAGAACGATACATATTACGCGCAAAAACATCCTAGGGTCCCATTCAGTTCGAGACGCGCCAGTTTTGTAGAGCCAGGTGAAATCGATACCACACTGAATCTTATGATAACTTTCGATGGCAAGATCATGACAGCCTTTGGAACAGAACGATACGTTACATCCGCATGATGGTCGACAGATTTGGATTGGTTGTACGAAGGGAAGAGCGAGATGAGCATGGCATGCATCGCAAAATTGTCCAGTCGAAGGCGGGATATTCGAAACACATACATGTGTCTTATCGACTAAAATTGATTCTCCTTCTTCGATATCACGTGTGGCGAAAATACCCAAGGGGCCAACATCTGCGTTCTTAGGAAGATCAGAAAGTGATTTAGATTTTGAAGCTGTACCTGGAGATCCGAAAACCACAGGGCGGACTTCTGCATTGAGAGAATCAAATGTGGAGTTGACTTGTCTGACCAAACGGGGTGTTCGGACAAAAAGCTTTGGAGCCATCCACGGGTATTTTTTCTGATATATCAATCCTGATCTACTACTTGCAGTGATATTGTCAACTGATCCATTCTTGGCGTCTTCCAGAATTTCCTCGTGTCTATTCTGGAAAGATCCAAGCAATAATGCTTGAAGATCGAGTAATTCGAAATCTCCTGGAAAATCCTCCAGACCAAGTTTGACCACCGTCAAGCCATCCCAAAATGCCGCACACTGCATTAATCCTTGGACCAAACAACGATAAGCTTGAAGACACATCGATTGTAGTTCGTCAATAATTATTACTGTCGAGCTCGTGTAAAGCCGAGTTGCGACAGCTGTATATACTAAGCGAGAGAGTTCGGATTGTTGAAGAGTGATGGTTTGAAGACCAGCCTTGATAAGCATAAGAGCGCGATACGCGTAATGGGAAGAGGTGTCCTTAAAGGCAAGTTTGGCGTCAAGATTGGCAAGATCGATGTAAATGAAGGGATCATGGGGCGCAATGGTCATGTCATGAACAAGTGCCTTGCGGTAGAGAATGAGACCGTCGAGCTGATTCTGTTAAATGAACGATTAGTTACCGCATTTGAAATTCTGTGTGAAACTTGCCTCTTTCTGAAGTTCGATTGATTTCTCGGTGATGAGATCAAATTGACATGTTCCAGTCCACTCGTGACGGATTTTAATCTTTTCGGCTTCTCCTTTGATGGTGCTAGGTCCGTGTTCCATTTGCGATACTTCAGTCACATCAGTGTAGCTAGCGCTATGGATGGTTTCGACTGGATCAACTAAGACTACAGGAGCCATATCAAGATGGATTGAAGAGGAGATTATTGCTTCAGTGAGTCCTGTTTCTGTGAAAGCCATCGATAAGACCTCCTCCGCGGTTTTCTCGGGTGATTCGGCGTCTGTTGACTCCAGCGATGGGAGCATTTCCTTCGCGGAATGTCCGTCGACCGCTTCCATACGATCAACTCCTGGCTTTTCAAGTGCCTCTTTGTTCTCTTCAACTTCCGGTTCGTTTCCAGGGACGAGCTCAAGATCTGCATCTTTCCATAATGGAGAAGCAAGTTCAATCACCTGCTCAGGCTCGACCTTGCACTTCGGAGTAGGCTCTTCATCATAGAGCGATGCAAATACTGACTTCACTTTCCTTCTGAATTCGTCGGGGCTCGAGGTTCGAATGACGAGGGGAGATGTGCTTGAAATGATGGCTTCATGATCACATGGGGAGGTAGGAGGAGTGTCGATGAAGTCGCCTTTTTTAGGAGAAGGAGGGGTGGTGAGCTCGGGCATTGTTGATATAATTTCCGTCAAAAATGATATGGTGGAAGTGAATTGATAGATGATCAAATGACCAAGTAATGAAGAATAATTGTTGTGTTTGCTAATAATATGTATGTGTGTAAGGTAATATCGAGAGTTGGAGTAGGCCTAGATAGAAGGGAATTAGATAAGACTCATAGAAGAAATGCAAGACAGTGTTTTAATGTAGCAAACAACGAAAGAAAGATTATCAATACAAATACAACATGGAAGTAGGTGTTTGTGACCAACCTTATGTTTGCAATATGAAGCGAGGGAGCTGCAGAACGCAGGTATCCTTGAACTGCTGGCCAACAGAGGCTAAATGCTGATGGTAGTAACAAGACAACAAGAGATAAGAGGCTTAAAAGTCGAAGACTTAATAGCGCAGTGAGGATATAGATATCCTGAAATGAGGTCTGGCAGTAATTTTTGGATTGAGTATAGTGAAATATGAGTAAGAATAGATGTGCAAGTTGATCTTCTGTTTCGAAGACTCCTTCGAGACTCGTGCCCTCTCAGGATGAGAGCCGATCCTTAAATAGAGGTTTGAGAGATTTTTGAGAGAGAAGAGGGAGAAGGAAAGTGGGGTTGGAATGAATCACCAGAATCCTGATTCACCCTGATTAACAGAGTGACTACGTCCCCGCTGTTCTGGCTGCGATGGTGTTGACAATGGTGACAGCAATATAAGCATGACCCAAAGGACAACAGTAAGACATGAGTTCAAATTATTGACATTATCGAGAACTGTTTGGGAGACGATATATATGAAATGCTAGTAAATAATATGTAAAATAGCGATCCCGTAATGTGGCACGCTCAGAAATTCAACAACAAACCATACTCACTCGAGTAAAAGCCCCGGGCCACTAGGATGACACCAGCAAGACTCTCCTCATTTAAGCGACAATAGCATCACGAAATTTCGACAATAAAAAGGTCTATCAAATTTTGCTACACCCCAGCCACAATGAATTTTTGTAGTATCAATTAAAAGCCTTCCAAATTATGGCTATATCTAAGCTTTGACCCTTGTGGTGTCATTATAAGTAAGGATAATGTGTCTTCAGAGGCGCATACTAATACGCACTAGCATTAGAGCGGGATATGGAGTACTAACATCCAATTAACCATCAATTGTCCGTCAACAGATCTCAAAAACACTTGACATAAGACTTTTTGAAAGCCATCGCGCTTTGCAATAACTACAGATGGCAACAACAGTAGCTGGAAAAAACTGCCAAAGTGATTTTTGGATGAGATATTTCCCCTTCTCGCTAGGGCTCGAAGCCTTATTAAATGACCAAATAAAACAAGATATTTTGATATTATAAGGTCTGCATAGATCATATTGCGCTTTATCCTCATCCATAATTGCAAAGAAAAAACTTACCTTGATTGGGTGAATTTGAGCAGTCAGCCTAAGCAATTCATGATCGATAAATCGCTGAAGTGACGAAGTGCGAAAATGTTGTCAAACTTCGGAAAAATGTGCAGATAATTGAATTTTCTTGGTCACTTGAATGGCAGCGCAAGTCGAATAGAGAAATAAAGTATATAATTGAGATGCCTGAAGGGATAAAATTAATGCGATACGGCGGCGAGAGTTAAGATTGATGTAGTTGTCGAAAATTGGTCCTGTGTTTGAAACGAGTTACCAACAAAAGCTATCAAGCGATATTCAGACGTAGCAATCGCTAAAAATCACTTCGTAGACACGCTCCCCATTGTTGTGGCATTGATAGGATAGTATCGAGAGGCAAAAGCATCCTAGTGTCGAAAGTGAGCTTGAACCATAGCGCTCACTCTTGACTTCGGAAGTGAAAACCCATTGATAGTGGCAGAAGTAGGCGACGATCAAAAGGTTAAAGAGGATCTCTGCGGCGGCAACTCTCTGCTTGCTTATGACACAGGATCTCATCAAAATATGATCTTTTATCTGTATATGCTGTTGTACCTGTGAGAAACTAATTCGCTTGCAATTTTCGGTACGACGTTGAAGTTTTGAGAGATACTCTGTTAGATTGAGATTGAGATTGAGAAAACGTTGATAGATTACAGATTCTTTATTTGATAGTCCTGGACGAATGCAAGATAGCATCGCGCAGTATTGCAATCAACACTCATTTGTAGAGAAATAAAGCTGAGGCAGGTTTTCAAGCTCGATCATATATGCCGAGAGTAAAGAGCAGTAATATCAGCTCATGGTAAGTGCTCTGAAAGCAGTATCAAACTCTCGAACAAGAAATAAATATGTCACTTAATAAATATGACTGTGCAGTCAGGTTACCTGAATGTTGGCCAAACCCTCGAGAAGTATATGTGGGACCTCTTCAGTGATAGGTGGCAGCTGGAACAGAAGGATCGATCAACGCAGGTACGAGCCGGGGCTCAGAGGTTGATTGAGATCTGCTATGCGATGAAAACTGCTAGTCCTTTGGGATGGAGCCCGATGCGAGCCTGATAGTCGACCAAGGGAGTAAATGGATTTGGTTAGGGACCGCTGATAGCTGTACAGTACTTGTTGAGCAGGCCTACCGCCCTTCGGACTCCAGGTACCCAAAGTCGAAGGTGGCATGTAATTTGCGAAAATCACTTTTCTCATAATCAGTTATTATATCAGACTACGTGATCTCTTTCGCTGCCTGCCAACCTTTCGGGCCGGTTCAACTTTCTGGCGGTTGCAAATGTTCGGAGATATACTTGAGTTGATTTCGATATAGCATCCCTCATTATTGCCAAGAGATCGATTTGAAACAGACATACAGCTCCTTATCCCCTCCTGTAGTTGTTGGGTATCACTGCAGCCAATATTGGTGCGTGAAGCTGCAGTCTTCTGCTTCCATGAGTAACGAGCCGTTTAACATGTCTAGTTGAAGGATTCAATTTCTACAAGAATATATTTGCATCCAGCGGCAGCTCAAGGTTTCCAGACAAACAATAGAACTGACATCTGTTTCTAAAGACAAATCCTAATGTATGAATTGTGATACACTATGGAACATAATTTGGGAAAGGCGCTCTAGTTTTGTGTCGAAAAGTGCAGAAATCTTACCAAAACTGAATCTAAGTAAAGCGCGTGGCATTCAACAGTAAAAAGAACTAGGTGAGCTGAGTCGGTGACTGTTGCTCCTAGGTACATGGTCTCTCTAAACCATCTTTTTTCTTGATTTATGATGTTGAATCTTAAATCTTGGCCTTCTCCTTCGGCAACCAGACACTCTGTGCATTACACCAATGCTTCAATCCCACTAACCCCCATGTCATTCCAATCCCGCTGTTCTTGAATCCTCCGAATGGAACTTTTGCGCTAAGATAAAAATGAGCATTCACCCACACACTCCCAGCCTGCAATTCCCGAGCCATCATCTCAGCTCTCTTGATGTCTTTGCTCCAGACTGAGGCCCCTAATCCTGTATTAGTATCATTGACTCTGTCTACAATACCCTCATCTGAACCGCTCCATTTGAGAACAGGGAAAATGGGACCGAAGGGCTCAAGTTGCACGATTCTTTCGGTGTCGGGTGGGTTATCGATGATGGTTGGATTGACAAAATAACCTTTGCTCAATGTGTCGTTCTTTTTGATATCATCATTCGAACCCCCAAGAGCGACTTTAAGTCCATTCTTTGCGATGTCGTCGTAGAAAGTTTGGACGGTGTCCATTTGCGCTTTGCTTTGCAACGGGCCCACCCAGCTTGTGGGATCAGCCCCAGGTCCAACTTTTAGCTTGGGAATATAAGCTACGAGAGCCGACATGAACTCGTCGTAAATGTCTGCATGGACGTACAGACGCTTTATGTCCATGCAAATCTGACCGGAGTTCAGCAATGCGAGATGAGCGACCTAGTTCAAGTATTGGTTAGCACCGTATGAAGTGAGAAAGTAGCATCACCAGGACCCATTTATTGTGGATTACTCCAAGTACTATCCATTCTGATTATTCGAGATCAAATCTCTCGGGCGAGGGGGGATAGAATCCATGATTGGAAAAAGATCTCCATAACACACCTGAGGAACCACGTTTGCGATATCGACATCCTCACATATAATACACGAGTCGTTCCCACCCAATTCCAAGGTAACTCGCTTCAAAGTTTTAGAACAACTCTCCATAACCTTTTTACCCGTTGCGATGCTCCCAGTAAATGCAATTTTGTCAATCCCAGGATGCATGGTACACATGGGTCCGAATTCGTGCCCACCGCTCAAGGCCTGCACTACTCCTGGCGGGAAGAATTGGTTTGCAAGTTCCACAATCTTAAGCCCGCAATATGGGGTATCAGGACTAGGCTTCATGATAATTGCATTGCCAGCCCACACCGAAGGCACTAGCTTTCCCATCGCAAGCAGAATTGGGTAGTTCCAAGGTACGATTCCACACGTTACTCCAATCGGGACATATCTCACACTTGCAACCATGGTATCGGTCTCTTCGACAACTTCTTCGTTAAGCAAGAGCTCAGTGGTTTCTCGAATCATGGCTAGACCTCGAGCAAACTCATCATGAGCGAGGAATTTTGCCTTTCCTTGCTCCATGATGACCAGATCAACGAATTCCGATTCGTATGATGCGAATGCATCAGCGAAGGCGAGTATGATAGCACGACGCTCTGTGATAGAGGTACGAGCCCAGGACTTTTGAGCTTTCTTCGCTGCACGCACAGCTTCATCAAGTTCCGTGATGGTGGAGAGTGGAACTGCAGGATTGGGCTCGCTAGTAGCTGGATTGATGCCATGTCTACTTTGTGTGGTTTCGCACAATTTTCCATCAATGGTGTTTTGAAATGTCTGGGGTGCTGTTAGCTAAATACCTTGCCACCAACCTCAATGATAACCATGTGAAATTTAATCTCACCACAAAATCAATTCTCTTCTCTGTATTATTTAACGCCATTTTGAAACCAAAAAAAATCGGAAATTGAGCAGTTCAATTCACAAATTCAATGCAAATGCAACTAACAAAACACCACTACCCGAATGGAAAAGCCCACGACTTAAGCCAATTCAGCGAGTGCTTATTACCCCTCATCTGAGCACATTTTTATGTATCCCCGAAAAGACCTTATCAACCATTTCACAGCTGAACATTCCTTGTGGCATTTAGTGGTGAGACAAAGCGAGGTTGTAATTGGCCCCTAGCATTCCCCGCACGACTTTGTACTCGGGCCAAGTCACCCACAACGAATACAACAGTGCTAAAAAGGCCATAAATCTGGTGGTGTAACAATGTTTAGGTATGATGGGAACCGCTTATATGCGGGAAGACTACCACTAGGTGAAATCCATGTCAAACTGCCCGTCTGCGGTGTAATTGAAGCCTGTCAATATAGCGCCACTTTAGTTACAATGTGACTACTTCTCGGGAAGACTAACGACCAGGGCTTTGAAACTATAAGACGCAGAGGTTTCACGGGCAATGGCTTCGCAGTTGTTTTAATGGTGTTGTATTATTGTACCCAAATTCGTGAAGTCAAATTCGATTCGATCCTGCCGAAGTATCTGCTCATCATCATTATATTATAATCTTACATCGCCAACCCAAACCAAAAAGTGCTATAACTATGACGATCCTTTGCCCCCATTTATTTTACTCATACGAACACTGCTGATTTTGGTATTGGTCGTCTTCGTGATGCCCATTCCCCAAATAGAGTCCTCTTCGCTACTCAGACTCCTCGAATCACTCGTATCTCTATTTGTCCCCCTCCCTCCACTGAATTTGCCTACATGCTTGGATATACGCTTGCCATGTGGCTTCCCCCGAGGGTTTCCAAGTTCTAAATCGATCTCGTGCGGTTTCACATCATCTTGATGCTGTGATTGTTCATCCGAAGAGAAATCGTAAATATCGCTAGTCACGTTTTGCTTCCCTGTTGCAATCGTTGTTGTGACACCCGAATTTAAAGGAATGTCATCTCTTAGTTTACAATCGTCGGCATCCCTCCCCAAGCTGGCCATTCTCGAACCTCCCAAATTTGCGTTCTGGCTTTTTTGCTTGATGTATCCACCGCTTTTAGCATCTCCATAACCACCCCAAGCTTTACTTGGGTTACTAAGACCTTTAGTCGAGCTACCAAATAGCCTGGTGCGTGCAAAGAAATTGCGAAAGAGAGGACGTAGAGTAGCGACTGAGCAGGCCGTAATGCCGATGCCTGTTTCGACAGTTGACCAGATAGCTACATCGACGGTTGCGTAGAGGAAATCGGCTATATTTGAAAGATCGTGAAGGTATGGAATGCGAACTATGGTTGCGGTAGAGGCACTGTATGATAATCATGTAAGTTTCATGCTAATCCTCCAGAGCCCTAAGTGAGAACGAGGCTTAGGATGGTAACAAGAAGTGAAGAGCACGTACATAGCACCCATGGACAGAATAATTGCCACACTGATCTTATCTCTAGGTGTCATCTGGAGATTCCACACCACCCATATCGGAATCAAACTCAAAATCCAGTCCGTGGCGCAGGTTATAGCGCTGTATGCATATCCCGCATCGACCGGAACATTAGCATCTATACACTTTCCTGTTCCGTTCGTGTACTTGGTCCAGAAATAGTTCGAAGGCTGGCATTGAAAGATGAAGACAAGAAAGTAGAAGATGCCACCGATTTCACACAACACAAGAGTACCAAGAATGATGTAGCGATGCAGTGGTACGTTCGAAAGGCGCAGGAGGAAAACTGCAATAGAAAGCTTAAGGGCCATGTTGGAGACGACGTAGACGGGCTCGCATAGCCACCAATACTGATGAGATGTCAGAAAGAGCTCAATGGGGGACCAGTGCCATTTCAAAAGAGACCAAGCCAGGTGAGTGTTGGAGTCAGGGATATCTTTGTTATGTGAACATTCTCAAAACAGGACGTCTTCATTGTTGTTTTCGTATAAGATGGTGAAGGCTTGATCTGTTGGTATGGAGAAGAGGGGCCACATTATATTCAAGTAAGAATTGAAAGATTGAATTACCTTGAGACCGATTGGGACATGTTCAGTTGGAATGTCCCAAATATGTTTACCACTTCCATAAGTTACAGCTGAGAGGGCGAATGTAGAATATACCATAAAAAATGCCTTTTGAAAACCCAGTTAGCAAGCAGAACACCTCATAGTCATTTCAAGCATATGTAAGAATGAAAGAGAAAACTAACCCAAGCAACAACAGCAAGTGTATCATCCCAACCAAAACTTTTGATAACAACCGCTCGGCAATATGTTCGCATCCAAACGGACAATGTAGTTAACACAATAAACAGTATCACGACTCCTTGAATCTGTGGCCCTCTATTCTCATGTGACTCCGCCCGTACCGATAACTCCAAAGACTCCATTTTTCCAGTTGGCAGTAGCAATAACCAGCTGTGTTGAAAGTGGCACTGGCAGCTAATATGTCCTCCAAAAATTTCCCCAATTTCTCCACGAACACAACGACGGAATGAAAGTCAAAACTCGAACCTTAATGTGGGCAAAGGCTAGTAGATAATATGCGTCTGGCAAATCCAAATGAACCCCTCGAGAGTACAGGACCCAAAAGAATGAATTTTATTTGTGTAACCCTTCGATCGGGGGGACCCACGACCACATTTGAAGCATTCATATCCTTTCAACGCAAGGAACCAGGTATGTAAGTGAAGTTCAGGTATACGTCTGGAATCTCGGTCACTTTGCCCCAGAGTGGATTTGGGAAAGTAGATCTGCTATTGTGCATGGAAAGACGGGAGAGCAAGGCGTGATCAAAGCGTTGAGAGGTTTACCATTTAATCATCGGAGACGTCCCAAACAGGAAGACAATACCGCTCTTAGATTCTGTTGGTATCGTTGTATACTAACATGTGGTAATACTTACTAGGTATCAGCACTGGATATGGATTTGACAATCTGATACGCTGATCTCAAGTTCCTATGCAAATAAATAGTGTACTGCCAACGTGCTTGTCGAGGCTAGTCAAGGTTCTTCCACCTGTCAATAAGCTACTTAACTAGATGCTGAAGTCATCAGCCACCATTTAGTGACGCTTTCGGAAGTTCATATGCGTGACCTCCAATTGTAATTGTATCCAAATGTAGGGATCAAGGTAGCTTACCTAGGCTTAAGGTACCAGACTGGTTGAACCGGGGCCCAGATCTAATAAGTCTTAGCTTGGACTATCACGAATTTGTGTAATGATCATACCAAGGTTTGCCCATCAAAATCAAAAGCTGGCTGTCTTGCTGGATCATATCAATCGTTTTCATAATCTTCGATGTAATAGGAGTGCCGATAGAGATAGCTACTTAGTGTGCCACATCATTACCAAATTGATCCAACTGGCAAGCCCTTAAGCTTTCTGATAGAACACAACTAGGCAAGAGATCAACTTAGCTACTTTGCACGGCATTTGCTCTCTGCTTGGTTGATCAATTCCTGGGATAGCCTTGTGAAAGTGCCGTACGTGATTACCAATATACTAATGCAGAAGCTAAATTATTCCGTCGCCCCAAGGGAACTCATTAGTCTGTCAGTATCGAGACTCGAATAAGATTTGGAATGTCCTATAGGCGATGCGATGCGCAGTTTGTTGCGGTAAACCAATCGAACGTCTGTTCCTCTCCTCTCGTCTGGAGTATTCTATCGACTCCATAGACTCTTGGCCATTGTTTGGGCATCGCACGGTTGTTGCCAGACGGGAGACGGGAGACCTACCGAGTGACAGCTGCCATGCCGCCACAATGTATTGTCGACAAGCTGATCTTTGTAATGTTGAGTCATATCAACAGGAAAATTTGGAGAATTACGACTCAAAACATTGGAATTATGCCGCACATTAAACCCGTCGAGAAAAATAGAGCATAGGATACTCCGTAGATTGAAAATTTGCGTGAACCCCTACGAATACATTTCAATTTTGCCCCTTGCGGATCGGGGTATTATCCGCTGCCCGGATGCTATTTCCGATCTAATCCGCGTTTTGAGTGGGTATGGCTAAATACGAGATTTGGTTCGTTTCGTTTCCATGCTTTCCAACTTACCTGGGTATCTTCGCCGTCTGAAGATTTTGCACACAGACTTGAAGATTCTTGAGGCTGATGACAACAATTTCATCCCTCCTCTTGGGCTGAACGAGTCTCAGTCACTTGAGTAGTAGATCCTTCGGATCCTAGGTATTGCTTTGAGATTATCTCTTGTGTCGATAGAACGAATGCAAATATTTTCCGAATCCAGTTGCAGTCACAAAATGCCAACCTTGTAGTTCAGCTAGTGAGAGAAAATCTGGAGACAGAGTTTTCGCTTCTCTATTGAAGTGATAACAGGGGTTGATTGAACCACCAGCAGATCTTATGTGCGAAGTAGAGGGGGAGCAGAAACGGGCAATTTTTCGTCTTTTTTTTCCCGCTCCCTACATGATCGTCTGTTTGTAATTCGCCTGCTGTAGGCCGAACAGCCGAGGTAAATTATCCACATCTCCGAATTAGATTTCTTCATACATATTGCATAATGTGTTATGTTTCACCCATTCTTGTCACGCTTCGGTGATAACTTCAATGAGGGAATCCGGAAATATAATATAGCTCATCCAAATGTGTGTCATAATCGAGTTGGGAAGTCCACATTAACACCCTCACCTTACTTTTCAGGGCCCATTTTTGAAGATTGTGTAACCAGCTGTTTGATACATTAGATATATTCCCTGGGTGCCATCCCATACGTGCTACAATTAGATGACTTCGCTCTTTGCAAAAGCTCCGAGAGAAAGCTTCCAGTACACGGCTCGCAGGAGCTTCAATACGCGTCCTTTGAGTTCGGTGATTTTGGCAGCATATACCATGAGAGTGCGATTGACTTTCAATCGCAGAGCTTCTAGAAAAGTATCTCTCAATGCACTGTTCTGTACTACGTCTACTTGAGACTTAGCAGATGCCGGATGCGTCTTGATACGGCTTGGGGCCGCGCCCCCCTTTTGATGAATGATAACTAGCAGACCCAATTAGCCCCACCTACTTCTATCCACTGAGAAGCTGGCATAACACTCCACCAGAATGGAAATTAAAATATAGTTTTCTCTCCTTGCAGATGTAAGCATTAACTTCCCGACCTCGTGGTAACGGTCCTTCAATGACAATCTTGCTATATTTTCCAGACCGGAAGTGCGGCCGGTGTTCGCCTGGCATCTCCCAAGTCGTCAAAGACTAACACTTCGCAGTCTTTTGGCACCCATTGGGTAGGTCGTAGGAGATCTATGCCATTTTTGGATTCGCATAATCCAGACCTGCCGTTGGAGAATGATTAGGAAATTGGTCTACCGGACGTTGCGGACTTGAATAGAGAAAGTGCTGAGAAGTTCAAGCCTCTCATTCCAGATTTCCAATGTTAAGAAATTCAAGGGTCAGCTCTCTATCCATGAGTGATATAACTCATTGTTGTACGTATATAGATATAGTATTCAATTATGACCTTGTTCCTTCACACTATCAGGCCTAGGGTGCAAGTGGATTCCTTCTAGCAGTTTGGGACCCCTTCTATCGGGAAGCGCAATTCTTGGCAGGCTTCTTGACCCCTTCATCAACAAGATTATCGTTGTTGGTAGATGTTTATGAGGCTTGAGCTGCACGGCTAGTCCCCAAGATGGCCCAATTTCCCATATCAGCTATCAATATTAGGAATCGATGCTCTTGCGTCAATTATAGACACCGCTCCTCCTTGAAATGCAATCGCGGATGATTAGTGTATGCGCTCTGCATCTGCATCTGCAATACAAATACTAATTGAAACAAGGATAGCAAAATACCTACACTTCAACTCCACTATTCGCTCATGCCCTGGGTTACACACTTGATGTCCCTGAAAGACGGAACCAAAAATCATGTTGTCATTGCGCTGGTTCTTCGTCACGAAGGACAGCTCGAGTTGACTGGAGATTTGTCATAATATCTACTGAAAGATCGAAGTACACTGTCAAATCATATCATAATAGGTGCTGTTTCTGGGCATCACGTCCGAGTTACGAATAGTATCACATAACTAGGTAATGATCACAGGCTTTCGAAGGAAGGAAGATTGCCTTCACAATATGCAACTCAAGGACCCTGATCTATCAAGCTATCATCTAGTAAGTTTGTTTTGATACTATCCAGTTATTGAATTCATCGTGTAGATTGTGGTATGTCACTGCAGCATTGATACTTTGCTCTTTAGGCGAGTGAACTTAAAGCTTCGTAGTCTATTAGATGATATGGATGGAAAGGTGAAGCAAAATATATGTCCAAGTACTCCCTGGAGGCTGTTCCTACAAGACTTTGGTTCGGTTACGGTCAAGAGACTACACGTAAAGTGTGTAGAATCCTGGAACTTTCACGTAGCCTCTCATCCGGCATGCGCCCCTTCTGCGGAGTTTCACCAGTGATTAAAATACTTCTTCCATCTTCCCTCGAGTGCAGAGTATCGAGATGCAGTGCAATGAGCATAGGAATTTGTTGAAAAGGAGGAGAGCATTGGATCAAGTAGGATGTGAACGAAGATGAGAAATTTGAAATGCCAGAAATGAAAGACACGTGGACAGCCATCTGCGATTTATATCATTCACAACATGATAAGCTTACAACCAAACAACTTGCCTTGATCATGAAGTTATTCTCCCAGCCGTGATCAAGATGTTATTGATGTCAAGTCATGTAAACTCTACGCTCCCTAGATATGTTGTTGGTTCCGCATCATACATCCCTATTTCGATTCTACTCAAATATCCTTTCGTTTACACTCCCCTGAAAACCTCGAACACACGACTGTAGATATCCCGTCAATCTTGGCACCCCCATCAAAGGAATGCGGAACTAGGAGTTCATTTTCAGAAAGTCTCAGTTTCGCCTCACTCTCAGGTTTTCCCGTCTCTTTAGGTTCTGTCGAAAAAGTGACGATGAGACTAAGAATGGTTTTCCCTTGATTTACTGATCCAAACCCACTCGAGAATATCCAGTCGAATTACTTCACATGATGTGATGATCTTCCACCAAACCAAAGATTATGGATGCAGCTGGTGAATGAGACAGGTTATTCACATATCACCCATAAAACATAAATGTGCACAAATGAAAACTGCTCAATCATCCAGTTGCTCAATTTTATCCTCAAGAGCCATTCGATAGCTCAACTGTAATCAGTCTCAAACACCAAAGACTCTATCTAACACTACCCACACAGAGCCAAAGTGAACTCCAGCAAAATGCCCCCTGAAGTACGTACTTACCTATCAGAGATTTCAAGTCAAGATGCAGAGTACACGCAAATGTGATATCTCTAGCGGAACCCGTTCCATATCCAAATATCATCTGAAAACTAAAAGCAGACATAGTCTGGCTTCGGATGTTCAAGTAGGAAGCTTTTATACGTAGATATGCAAAGTCACAGTTGCACCTGAAGTAATGTCTGATATAGTGAGGATGGTGCCCGTACTATTGGCGCGCTACCGTCAGTGCTTCCTTGAGATGTAGCAATCTTCTTCTCTTCATTATCTCTTCTATTCACTCTACCTTCTTTCCTCAGCCCCTATTTCTCATTCAACTATGCAGCCATAAAATCCTCACCCAAGCCTTACTTTCCAAGTTTTAATAGTCTTCTCCTTTGTATCGTCTATTCCCTACATTTTCACAAGTTTCATTTATCTCATACAGGAAACTCCGAATCGTCGGATCCAATGTGATCGTGGGTAGGAAATTTATGCCGTAGGCTCTAGTAAAAATGCAACTATACGTGTACCTTGCTTCCGATCCACACGTCTACTTTCTCAACGCGTGTCTAGAGATATATGATGTCCTGTCTTGTCACTACACTAAATCAACAATACATATTGCAGAATCATTGGTTGACAGCAAACT